CTCTCCAGACCATTTGATGGTCGGAGTCAGTCCCTGCATCTTCTTGAGCAGTTCTGGGCGTACATCTGCAGGCAGTGGCTGCAGGATTCGGACCTCCACACTTCGGCGTGCAGATTCAAGAAGCTGAGTCATGAACTCAGATGGATCAGGCACTACTCATGCCGCCGGTGCTGCGTATGAACGCATGGTTGAGTCAAACAAACCGGGTCGTACAGACGAGCGGTTTGGAAAGTTGGATGAAGGCTCCCGTTTTGCTTCGGTGCCAAATAGGTCAGGAAATGGTGGGTTGGGCCAGGACGAGCCACCCTCGCCACCATCCTCGTCATCACCATCGCCACTCGGACGGCGGGGCCTTCTTCCCGAGTTAGACCTAACTTGGTCTACACGCCTCTTGCCCCCTTCTGGAGCCGCAGGCGGTTGTGAGAATCGGTGGTAGTTATCCAGCACTCGTCTGAGTGCTGTGCCGTGGGACAGTCTTTCGGGGTCTTCACCGTTTGCCCCACGACCCACGTTGTATACGAATGCTGCGTCTGCATCCAGACGGGCGTTAAAGTCAAAAGTAGATTCGCTGAGACTACGCTTAGCGAAGATAGGTCTGACCTTGGTGGGCTGTCTGCCAATGTCATCTACACGATCCTGGACGTAGATCGGGCGTTTTTTTCGTGCGTAGTAATCGTACGGAACACTGGTGGCTTCCGCGTCACCGTCTTCCTCTTGTATCGTCTCCACAGTGGCCTTCATCGGCACTGCTTTCTTTCTCCCGTGGTCGGGAGGGAAATTACGCGTTTGAGTAGCGTCAACGCTTGGTATCTTCACCCCACTGTTCGTGGGTTGGGACGACAGAATGAACGGCGCGGGCACGAAGCCTGGCCTGAAATGGAATGGAGAAGTTCCACTCTCCCCTGTAATCGATGATCCAGCCAGTTGTCCTGGGTCGATCTCCCTACCCTTTCCTTTGGCGTCAGTGGTTACTGGTGCCATCGACGGGGTAGGTGGCTTAGTTCCACTAAAGATAGGAACAAAACGTCCGTCAGATCCTTGTACCTCGACAGACGCGCGTGAACTTGTCGCCTCTGTGACGACGGCAGAGACAGTGGGGATCCCTCCAGGTATGGGGACCCCACTGATTGGTTGACCCGTTGGATTAACGGGAACTACAGGGACCTCCTGGGGCGCTTGCGCCTCCACAGCGGGTTTAGTGATTTGTTGACCCGTTTGATTAACGGGGACTACAGGGACCTCTTGGGGCGCTTGCGCCTCAACAGCGGTTTTTTTCGTCTGGTCAGAGACGACGATGGGGTTTCCACCCGTTGTTGGGTTCACTGGAGGGTTTGCAGATGGGTTATCCACCGTTGCTGCGGGTGGCTTTGGCTCGTCGCGTCGAGAGAGCGCGAGGAGAATGTCGTTAAGTTTCTCATTAAGTCTTTCCTCCACCTTAATGATGTTACGATCTAGACGAGCGATGTTGTCGCTATTCCCAGAGATCTGGGTATTCATGTTACGGACATCGCCTCTCAAGTCGGCGATGTCGTCGTCAACTTGGTCGACGCGATTTCTTAGTACTCGCGCCGTTTCAGACGCGAGGGAGTGGGTTGGGGATGGAGGACGCGACGCGCCCATTGGGATGAATGCTGCGAGAGTCTCCGCTGCGAGGGCTTCAGACGTTGTGACTTCGTCAACGTCTCTCATATAGGTGGGACGCGTCTGAGACGCGTCCCTGGGCCCTTGCAGGCCCAGATCGCCACCATCACTTGAGGTGGTGTCGTCTTCCGCCCTACGGCTAGTGGAGGGGCTGGCCGTGTTGGCGGGAGCGTTGGACGTGCTCCTGGTGTTGTATCTCCACGACATCCAGAAGAGGTGTCGAGTTGTTCAACAAGTTCGCGTGAGAACTTGATCGAAGTCGCGCGTTGTCAGGGGCCGACGACGCGCGCGTTGCCAAATGGGGTTTCGGCGCCGGTAACGCGGTGCCGAGAATGGAAAGAGAATAATAGCGTAAAAAAGTGAAAGGTTGTCTTACTAGTTTGGGGACGGTAATGTTCCGTTCCCCCGTTCGCCTCAGGCCTCAGTAATCCGTCTAAGTATACGCTTGATTTGGCTGTATATTGACGGGGTAGAAGTAAAGGCTGATCTGCCTTTTACAGCTACCCCGAGGGTTTATATACAATCTTATACATTCTCGGCACAAATAAATAGAGAAGCTTCCGCGACGCTAAATTAGCGTCGCGACATAATTATTACACAACACAACATCAACTGATGTTGTGGGCGGAATATAGACATGGGCCGGGGCCTCACACTCTGACAGGGGTCCGGAGTTTGTCTCTCATTTTTTCCGTTCACTTGGTAAGGCCCTCGACATCTGCCTCCACTTCACCTCCGGTTATCATCCAGAAGGAGACGGTCAGACCGAACGGATGAACCAGACGCTCGAGCAGTACCTGCGTATCTACAGTAACTACCAGCAGGACAATTGGTCTGAACTACTGCCTCTCGCGGAGTTTGCATACAACAACGCTCCGAATGCCACCACAGGCGTCTCCCCGTTCTTCGCCAACAAAGGCTACCATCCGAACATCACCGTTCACCCAGAGCGAGACCTGACGTCAGTACGCGCCCAAGAGTACTCCGTAGATCTCAACTCCCTCCATCACTTCCTTCGCAAGGAAATGCATCTCGCTCAGATCCATTATCAGGGCCCTGCAGACTCCCATCGGAGTCCTGCCCCAGCTTTCGAAGTAGGAACCTCGGTCTACGTAAAGGCCAAGTATTTCCGCTCTACCCGACCTTCCAAAAAGCTCTCCGAGAAGAACCTCGGCCCATTCGAGATCATTGCCCACGTTGGAACTCACTCCCTCACCCTCCGCCTGCCGGAAAACATGCGAGCCATTCACCCGGTATTCCATGTCTCGCAGATCGAACCCTCTGTCCCAAACATCATTCCGAACCGCCACCAGCCACCTCCGCCTCCCATAGAAATTGAAGGCGAAATGGAGTACGAGATCGAGGAGATACTCGACTCCAAGATCAACCAACATAGATGCAACAAGTTGCTCTACCTGGTCAAGTGGCTAGGTTATGAAGGGACCGATGAGGAGACACAATGGCTCCTTGCTGGGGAACTCGATCATGCCTCCGACCTCATTGAAGTGTTCCACTCTCGGTACCCAGATAAGCCTGGACCCAAAGCCCCTTAGGAACCCCGACTCCTCTCCCATCTCTCCTTTCTCTCCACCCCTCACTTCCGTTTTCATTTTTTTTCTTTTCTGTAAGTACAGCTCCCCTCACCTTACTAATTCTGGGCCTTCAAGGGTTCAGGCCTAAGAAGGGGATACTGTCATATCCATCCCTGGCCATCGACTTCCGATCCCTCCGATCCCTCCATTCCACTTCCGCTCCTTCCTCACTAACCTCGGAGCTCCCGTATTCTGCAATCCCCTTGGTACCCCTCGATGGTCACCACCCCCTCCTTTCAATTTATTACCTACGCCTCCCTAAGTACGGAGCCCTGAAGGCTTCCGGACAGCTCCGACATCCGCTAGTGCACTCCTGCCTCCACTGGGCAATACACTTGCTTGCCCTGCAAGCCCACCTTCAGGCCTATCCCTCCTTTCCGTTTCTGGGTTATCGCCTGCCTTTCCGCTAACCCTGTAACCCGACTCGTCAGTAATATTCAATCAGCTAATGTCTAAACCCCATTAGCTCCACTCCACTCGGCTCTGCCATTTGCGGACCCGCCCTTGCTGTAACTATATATACTTAACTTGTACATAGGTTACACTCCAGTAATAAAAATCGACTAGAGTTTACCCTCTTCAGTTCTGGTGGCCAGTTAGTAAGTTAGGGCATGGACGTGTTTACTAGGCACAGCGCTCCTGGCATAAGTCGCTGAGGCTGAAGCCCTCCGTCATGGAGACACTCCTTCATCTCGACCCGGTCTCTGACAAAATCCATAAAAATAGTTATTTTGTCATGCATGAACTTTTCCCTGTAGAAACAAACAGAGATAATATGCCATGGTAGCTTCAAGAACATTTAAATTGGCTTTAAGAAATGGAAAACACTAATAAAAGAAATTACAAAAGACAGAACAATAAGAAAGTGGCCTGGAAACCCAAAATTGTGTTGGGAGCCTCAACCGCTCCCCATAACCGTGCTAACCTTACACCATTCAACTATACTAAACCTTAGCTTTTCAACGCAGCTGGTCTCATTCAAAATGGTGGAAAAATGAGCAAGATAGTATGGGAGGAGCAGGGAATATATCGTGCATTTCCCCTATCTCGCTGAATAGTAGTTCAAATGTCCTCAAAGTTTGCGCACTGCAATAAATGTCTTCAAAGTAAACTTTACATATTTTCTCGTATTTTTTCGACATCTGAGAAGCACTGAGCTTTGACCTTGCATGTCATTTCCCACGCATGCCACTCCCGTGCGGTGTTGAGTGAACCGAGAATCGGGCATTTCTCCATCAGTTCTCAACCATTTTCCATCGGGGTTTTTGCAATAAATTCCTCTAAAATTCCTCTTTATTTCGTATTATTACTCCAACTCATGATTCTGCAATTTCTAGGATGCACACAGCTACAGAAGTGGATAGCAACAGACATGTGACTTCAGTTTGAATTGAAAGTGAATTCTCAGGACGTCTCAGGACGTCCTGGGATGTTCCCATACAAAAGAGGCCTCTAGGCCCTCTTTGAACGTCCTGAGAACCCCCCTCTATAGGCCTAGATATCGGTTGTCCAAGGTGGAGGGGGAGACTAAAAAGCTCCCTTCTTATACGCGAGCTACACGAGTGGCGCACCCGTCGCATAAAGAGAATAACGGGGGTGTAAGAAACAATCCCCCAAACCTCACTTTCGCCACCAACAATCAATCCCTCCTCGCCACTCCATCGTCGGAACCGATTGTTGATATTCCAACATTTGGGGGCGGTGTTAATTCACATACTGAATAACTGTTGTAGCTGTCGCGAAACAGTATCCATTTCTGAAGCGTGGACCAGTTGATGTTCGCGTCATGAATTCAGGTTTAAAATTCCTAGCTAACTAGCTTATCTTATGTGATGCACAAACAATGTTGATTGTGCCAAGTTGTTCTACATCTACCGCAGCAAGCATGGCCAAACCCTCTTCCGCCTCAATCCGCCGATCGAGTCACGATGTCATTTCCACCTTCATGATCCAGTCCGTCCTGGCTGAGCTGCCTCTTTGGAGTGTGTCCTTGAAGGGTAGTACTTTAGGAAATCCATGGAGAGTCAGTGCGAAACACAGACTTCAGCCTATAAGTCAGGCATAACACCTACGGCAAGTCGAACTCTTGAATGGGAAGACATATCAACAATGTCAGTAATGCCACTACGGCTTGCAAGATAAAGACGATTCGCAATGAGGAAGCCCAAGAATCGACAGCTTTCTGTCGTACATCAGGTTCCAGCGTAGGGATGATCGATGTTGAGTGACGGATCTTGCGGATGATCTATAGAAGCTTCGTTGAGCGATTAAGAATAACATTCTGTCCCGGAAGAATCGTACCCTTTCGGCATCAGGTCCCTTTATTCGTTTTCTGAGTGCTGCGACTAGGAGACCTTGAGTGAGCGCGCCGCTGAGGCTCACACCTAGCACCTGACCCGTGGTTCGGAATAAGTAAGAGACTTGAAAGGAAAGGCTAGGCGTCAGCCCAGCTCCGCATTACGAGACACAATATACTTCTTACTTCCAGTAGCTACCGCTATCTCCTCTGGGCCAACGGCGGATATTAGGGCCTGGTGAACCAATCAACAGATTGCAAAAATATCATGCTAGAGTGGAAAGCGCACTATGAGGGTAGCCGTGATGTGACTTGACCTGACACAGAATTAAAGATCAGCGAATCGGAGAGATACGCAAGCTCGTTGATCGACTAACATCCCAAAACCTGACGGGATGATGTCAACCCAGAACTCGATCTCCGGGGTACCAGGGTATCTCCAAATGGCTATGAGTAAGGACGAGACAACGGCTGCCGCCGTACTGTAGACAATCAGCCACCAGTACTTTCCTGTTCGACGCATGTACCTTGAAACGCAAATAAAATCAATCATGATTCACTGGAAGAAGTGAAAGGTTCAACATACCACCCAGCGAAGACGCTTCCTGTGGAAATCATGATCTAAGCATGACGCACAAGTATCAGTTATCGTTGGGTGATCCAATCATGAGCCGACCAACCGAATTTGGTACCATGTGAAGGCCTGCACCCGTAGCAGACTCCAGCTTGACCGCAGTGAAGTAAAGTGGGTAGTTGTATAACATAGAAAATGCCGTCATGCTCATAGTAAGGTTGGACCAGGCTACACAAAACGGGGTCCGCTGAAGAAAGAGCCTCATAGGAAGCAGTGGTTCACTCGACCAATACGCCTCCATTAGTACGAATGAAAACAACCCCACTGCACTGACAACGAGGAGTCCCCACACCCCAGGATGAGAGAGAGGAAATTCCTCGGTTGACATCAGAGTGAAACCCAGAAGGAGCGACGCAACGCCAATAGTTAGCGTGAGCGAACCAAGATAGTCTATCCGTTTAAGTTTTGACTTCAGATCAAGTGCCTGATCTGGCCCTTTGAGTCCCGCCGTGGTCGAAACGAAAACAAAGGAAAAGGCGAGAAAAGGGACCTGGAGAAGGAACGCAGAGCGCCTTGTGCAAGAGTAGCATGTCAGGCCAACAACACACCAAGACATCTCAAGGTTCTCGTACCATCCCACTCGATCATTGATGAAGCCGCCCAAGGGCCCACCAAGTCCGCTTCCAGCACCAAACAAGACGTTCGCAAAGCCTTGGTAAAGCCCACGGCGCCTCCTGATCCAAAATGATGAGCGAAAATTAACCATGAAGATAGCGTACAAACACACAGAGGAACAATATCACTGACGGATATGCTTGATACTGAAACGATCATAAAGTCAGGCCCTTAATCAGATGCTGACATATATCAATATCTCAACCTGTCATGACGCCACCCCCACCCATTCCCGCAATTGCCCTTGCAGCAATAAGGGTCTCCATAGATGGCGCAACGCCGCAGAGAAATGTTCCTGCACCAAAGAAAGTAAGAGCAACAAGCATTGCACCTTTGCGTCCTATGTGGGCTCATGGTCTGAGGAAACGAGACCAGATGAAAACCGCCCAGGTGTTTCTCACCCAAAATGTCAGAGAGTCTTCCATAGAGTGGAGTGAAGCAGCAAACGCTCCTAAATGCATCGGGGTAGGATTAAACAATGAAAATATTCAGCCGGCAACGTGAAAGACACACAGAAGGTACGCAGTTCCAAGATGGGAAGCTTGATGCGCCTTCTGGAAGTATGACCCTATTCTGCACGAAAATGATGGCACCAAATCCTTTATATTTTCAGCGTCCTGTCCAAGGGATTACTTACGGTGCAACAAGAGTAGCGACAATCGTCCCATCGAGTGCCCCCAAAAATACTTCGTTCAGACTTCTCAGATTGCACTCTTCAATATACCAGAGACAATAAACTGACCTGCACTCCACAGCGCAAAGAGGATCCAAGCCTTTTGGGACATCGGCGGCCCATCGCTCACGGCGACATCAGAGCCGTGAATGCCTATTCCCGTTTCCGGCTCGGACTCATTCACAGTGTACCCTCTCCTCTGTCCGTGTCCCCCAACTAGCGCATCACCTTCGTTGACCATGGCTTAGGAGGCCCCTTCAAAAGACAGGAATCAGAATAAACGTGCTTCGTGTGGGGTGTGTCGGAGTGGGGATTTCGTTGTAACGCATTTATGAGACGGAGGGCGTTATGGAATTTTCTGGGCGTTACTGGGCGTTACGAGGCGTTACGGGATTTTTGGGGTTGTTACAAGAGCGTTACAGAATTTCACAATTACAGCAGCTGTCATAAAAATCGGGAATCCAGAACTAGAAATGGCCGCTGCAAGGACCACTTATATGGAACATATTTTGTAACATTATTTGTAAAACGCACCTGAAAAACTGCCCATGAAAACTTACGTGAAATATGACTAATCAGACGGTGTAAGCGCTTTTAGTGGAAACGGCCGGAACCCAAGCGGTCTCGGCCCGTGAATTGGCGCGCGCGGGCATTGTGCGACCCGTAATGTACAACAGAATACACAAATACACAAATACACAGTTCAGCGAGACACAGGAAAATTGTAAGGATACAAGACCAAAAAGCTGGGAATATCAGGTTGGTGAAAGATGAGGAGGTGGGTAGACGCGACAGAAGGCAAACCGAAGCTGAAAGAAGTAGCGCAGGCGCTACAGTGAGACTCGCAACGGAGTTTGCGCAAGGTGAAGTAGACCTACTTGAAAGCACAGCGCAACGTGAAGTTAAGAATGGAGCTTAGATGCAGACAACTTGTCTGAGGTGCACATGTAAGCTTCCAGCCCCTGTTGCAACCAACCGAGGACTTGCCAGTCCCGATGGAGCAGACGCGAAGGCAGACTCGTACCCAGTCGGAGGAGCTCCGTGGACGCGCAAAATAATAGCTTTTGTACGCAATGTAAATAAACGTTCTCACACTGGTACTCGACTGCTTCCGATGCTAGTCACGTTCTGTACTCAATACAAAAGATCACATGGTACGGAGTTAAACAAATATCCGATCACCTACTCCGAAACTTAGCCCGCGACACTTCGCTCCTCTGACTGGGGCAAAATGTAGGTGGCGATGCATCGGAAACACCCGACTCTCACGCTAAGCCTGAATGAGTTGTACATAGAGGTTGTGCAATGTAATTGTTAGTGTTGACACATGTGGTCATTATACCCAACCCAACCCATAGAGACTTGGGAGCACCTTGAGGGTTGTGAAATCAACAACCCAGGCATGTGCGGAAATTGACTCTTCATATAATACTTCTATAGCGATTTGCAGTCGGTGCTTTGTAGTGAAGCAGTACAAGCATGAGCTGAGGCTATGCAGCCTTTTTTGGCTGCGGGTGTTCGATTCCCACTCAGTGAACCTTTTTTTATGGTCTCAGGAATAATTGTAACAACTTCCTATTTACACTAAGGAGAAAAAAAATGGTTTACTGAGTGGGAATCGAACACCCACAGCCAAAAAAGGCTGCATAGCCTCAGCTCATGCTTGTACCACTTCACTACAAAGCACCGACTGCAAATCGCTATAGAAGTATTATATGAAGAGTCAATTTCCGCACATGCCTGGGTTGTCGATTTCACAACCCTCAAGGTGCTCCCAAGTCTCTATGGGTTGGGTTGGGTATAATGACCGCATGTGTCAACACTAACAATTACATTGTGCAACCTCTATGTACAACTCATTCAGGCTTAGTGTGAGAGTCGGGTGTTTCCGATGCATCGCCACCTACATTTTGCCCCAGTCAGAGGAGCGAAGTGTCACGGGCTAAGTTTCGGAGTAGGTGATCAGATATTTGTTTAACTCCGTACCATGTGATCTTTTGTATTGAGTACAGAACGTGACTAGCATCGGAAGCAGTCAAGTACCAGTGTGAGAACGTTTATTTACATTGCGTACAAAAGCTATTATTTTGCGCATCCACGGAGCTCCTCCGACTGGGTATGAGTCTGATGTGAAGGCAGCGCTGAGGGAGCGGAAACCTTCCGCCAGTGTCACATGCACGTCAAAACACGTGAGGACATAAGACGTGAAAAACCCAGGATAGTCAAAGTCCCATCCATGCTGCAACAACACAGGACCATGTGGCACCATTCAGCACCAATTACCATCGAGATTAGTCATGTGAAATAAGAATATTAAACCATGAGTTTTGAGGCCATTTTGAGGTGTTTTGAGGTCAGTTTTGAGATCTGTTTTTGAGGTCTGTTTTGAGGTCGATTTTTGGGGTTGGTTTTTTGGGGTCGGTTTTCAGGGTTGGTTTTTGAGGCCAGTTTTTGGCATCATTTTTTGGAGATTGCTGTCCAATGGAAAAATAAGGGAAAAAAAATGAGATATGGTAGGTGTTATATTCAAACTTGAGGCAGTGGGGGGTAGGGGTGCCGAAGTTCACAGAGAACTGGTTCCAAACCGGTTCACACCAGGAACCAAACTGCAGTTTGACCAGGAGGGGTGTTGTTATGTAGCTCTCAGTGGGGACACTTGGATAATGGGGAACAACCAACTTGATATTGTAACCGCACAGCAGTATAAGTAGTTAAGGCAATTAAACAGATATCAGACAAGAATAATAAAGGGATGAGATATGCGCAAGCGCTACATGTGGAACGCAGTCAACAGTGAGACATGCAGCACATGTGAAGGGGTATCATATCGGCTAGCCGATATGGGCATGATATGCATACCGGCACGTCGTCATGTCTTGCTCAACCAATAAGGGGCATCCAAAATTGACTCCCAGCAACTAGCTTTGATAATGTGACACAATTTTCAGAGGACCTCCTTGCCCCATTTATTTGTTTACAACAATATTCAATTTCATCAAAAATCCAAAATTGTAACTAAATCTGTTGAACTAGATTTTATCTCCTTTTCTCCACCATGTCCACCATGCCAGAAGCCAAAACTTGCAGCATATGCAAGCAAACTAAAACCATTGACAATTTCATGTCCACTCTACATACTCCAAAACTGCAAAAAAACTGCAACCATTGTAACACATGTAAGTCCTCTAACAAAAAAAGGGGGCATCACCAAGGCCAAGCCTCTGAATTTTTGAATGGACTTGCCTCTCTGTAAGGGGTTGGTGTAGGTTCCAACCCCAGTTCTCCTCAATCCTCAGGTCATCAATAAAGTTGAGCTGTATGGAGCTTTAATTATCAACGATGGGGAGGAAAAGGAGTTTTTTTCCTTTTCCCAAATTCCCACGTTATTGTATATACATTGTTTATACATGTTTAAATTGAGACAAATATACAATAAGATAATGAATGAAGGGTGGGGTTATGTCAGGGGACGACTCCCGGGTCCCCATGACCCTCCCCTATGGCACAGCCTCAGGTCTGGCCAGCCCTATCCAGGGCACAATCCTACTGTGGGTAAGGAGATGAGAAGGAAGCTAACTTCTCATCTTCCCACAGTGGCCACCATATCAGGAAAACTTCCGGGGATACCCGGAAGTCACATGAAGGCAGGATCTGGGGCCGGACCATGCGGCACACGGAGCATGCGGCACGGGAATGCGTGCAGGAAGTGTAGCGGGTCCGGATGCAGGTCCGGGTCCGGGCTAGTCAGGGTGTGTGCCCTGACATCACCCTCCCTCTAAGCTACTTTGCCCTGAAGTGGCCCTAGTCCCCAGGTAACCCATCCCTCAAGTGGTTAGAACAAAAACAAAAAAGCGGAGGTGGGAGTGGGAGCGGGGGATAATGTAAGGGTGGAAGTATAAAACTATTCTAAGTTAAAAAAAGGCGGCGAAAATAAGAGTTAAGTTAAAAAATTAAAGTGGTTGTCCATCGCCGCATATGCGGCGCTCCCCTAAGACTTGCCAGAAAAAATTTTGGGTCCCTCAGCACCCTCCATTGTCTGCTCACGACTCGGCGACCTCCAGCCTGCATCCCTCATCCCATGATGCCCCAGCTGCAGTCGTGTCGTCCCCATGATCACGTCCGGCCTCAGGGCTGCGCCCGCTCCGGGTATGGAGGGTGGTCGTGCAGCACTTGACCTCTGGGCCATCGTCTGCGTGCCTGCACTCTGACCTCCGGGCTGCGCTCCTCCAGGTATGCAGGGTTGGGGGTGTGGTAGCGCTGAGGTAGCGGTGATAGTGGGAGAGTCCCAGGGGATCTGGCAGGATCTACACCCCGCTCCCCACCCTCCCTCTAATGCCACTTCGCCCCGAAGTGGCTAAACCTCAAAACCCCCTCTCCTCCCTCCTCTGTGCGTGGTGGTCCATTGCCTAGGACTCTGGGCTCCTCTTCAGGGGTGGATGGGGAGAATATGGAAAGGAAAAAAAAAAAAATTCGGGGTGGGTAGCAGGTATGCGGTAAAGGTAGTCGGGCCCAGGACCGGGCCATGTGGGGTCGCGTGTGGAAAACAACTCTCCTCCAAGTGCATCTTGCGCACTGGGGAGTCCGGGTGCGTGGATGGTGGGGTTACTTGATGTGGGCTGAGCACCACCCTCCCTCTGTGCCGCATTCCCAAGCAGTCACAGCAGGGAACCTTGGGCTCCTTCGTCAGCTTTCATCCATCACCTCTCATATCCATCCTCCACCAAAATCCAAATGTAAAACTCTCTCCTGGGTGCCCAGCACCGCAGTCAGGTCCGTGAGCCATAGCAGGTCCGTGATGCGGCTGGGATACACAACCCTCCCTCTATGCTGCATGCCTAAGCGGCCATAGCAGGGATCCTGGGCACCCTCACCAGCAGCATCCATTCCCTCTCGTGCTCATTCTCTGTCGTGAATCCAAAAAGCGGCGCTTGCACGCGCATGCGACTCTCAGTCGCAAGTGAAAGCGGGGGTGGGTGGTCTCATCCAGGTTATCTTGGGCATCTGCAGTTACAAGGCTGGCAGCGGGTGGGTGACCCCATTTCCAGAGTGCCTTTCGGCCAGTTTGTTGGCAGCAGTCGGGCGGCTTTGTCTCCTTAGCGTGTTCAGCGAGGTGTCCAGGTAGCGGTGGGATAACGTGGGGAACCGGGTTGGTGGTCTCTAGTGGGTCATCATTCTTGCGTCTGCAGTTATGAGGCTGGTAGCGGGTGGGCGACCCCGTTTCCAGAAGGCCGGTATGTTGGCAACAGTTGGGCGGCTATGTCTCCTTAGCATGT